TGAACTACATAATGAAGCCCTGTTTCAACCCTCCCCACACACATACACAAAAGTAAAAAAGGAGAAAAAATTCCAGGCTGAACTAGGCATGGTGGCGCAAATCAGTAATCCCAGCATTTGGGAAGCTGAGGCAGGAGGATCACTCTGAGTTTGAGGCCAGTCTTGACTGCACAGTGAATTCAAACATAGCAAGAACCTTTCTCTCCACCTCCCCTAAATTCCAGTCTACCAGTAAATGAATAAGCTTATCTCACATATATTTGGTATTATTGCAAAAACGCTAACCTGACAAATACATTCTATATTCGAACAAATAAAAGTCTGAAAACAAAACAAAACAAAACAAAACTCTGGAATGCACAATCCATTTCCTCAAATTTACTATGGACAAAGTACACATAAATCATTCTATGTCAAAAATTCTAACTTCAGGGCTATGAGATAGCTAAGTGGACTAATCGCCTGCTTAGACAAGCACAGGGACCAGAGTTGGATCCCCAGCACCACATGCCACACTGGCAAGCACAAGGGCATGAGTTCAATACCCAGTTCTGCCAAAAAACAGAAAAAAAAAGAGTTGGAATGGCTAAGTATTTCAAAACTATTTTGAACATTACAGTACTTTTAATTACTTCAAATATTAAGCATATTTACAAACTGGAAAAAAAGTCACTACTACAATGTCAGCTTGTTATGCATAGAATTCATTTCCACAAGTTATCTCCCCCCAAAATAAAGTGACACAGCTAAGAGATATTCATTTTAATTCAAATGAAGAAATTTTTTACTTATCTGAGTAGATGAAGAAAAGTTAAACGTTTTACACCAGCCTATATACTGGGTCAACAAAGATGTCAAAGTAAATCATTAAGCTAACCAAGCTGACTACTGAAAGATATTTTAAATGGAAGCTTTACCTCAGTTCACTTCAATCTAAAGGGACAGATTCAGATACTAGAATTTTCCCTAGAATAATCTCAGGGCAGGGCAAGAACCAGTAACCTACCAGGGTCATTCTGAGTATTTGTAAAAACAGCCTAACAAAGTCTACTCCCAAGTTAAACTCATCTGAAGTCTGAGCCACCATCCAATGAACCATGGACTTATAATCTTTTACAACTGGAAGCAAAATTTTGAGGAGGAAGTAGCTGATTAATTAATTCTGAGGAAATTTAATAATTAGAACCTCTGATAACATCTAACATACTGGTTAAAAAGAACAGCAGTGTCTATGAGCTATTCTGAGTTAACACATGTTAACACACTTTCTAAACATAAAATATGCTTGGATTTTGAAGGATTAAGAAAAGTTGGGGTCGGGGAGATGGCTCAGTGGAATAAGCGCTTCCCTGGCAAGCACAAAGGCCTGAGTTCAATCCCCAGTTCTGCCAAAAAAAAAAGTTACAGGATATCAAAGATACTAATACGCAGAAATGGGGAAGGTCCTTTAAGAACTCACATAACACATCCAGAAGACTATATATATATATATATATATATAGTGTGTGTGTGTATATATATATACACAATTTTTAAAAATCTTATGGATTTATTTCTCACAGGGTCTTGCTATGCAGCTCAAACTCAAGAGTGATTCTCCTGTCTCAGCCTTCCCTAATGCTGGGATTATTGGCATGTGCCACCACATCTGATTTTAGTGGCCAGCAAAGGCACAGCATGCAGTACCTGGTATTAAGCCCAGTCCTTGTGCTTGCCAGGCAGGCACCTAAAACTCTGAGCTATCTCCCTAGCCCCTAGTTTGCTCATTTTATTATAAAGTTCCTTTCTACCTGGTTTAAAAAAAAAAAAAATTAGTATTGCCCTTAATATTTTATAAAAACTATAAATAAAACAAAAAAACCTATAGCATATTCTTATCTACAAAACCAGATTATTAGTGCTTCATTTTCTGATATACTAAAGATGTCATTTTTATTTATTTACTTATTTTTTTGCAGAACTGGGGATTGAACTCAGGCCTTTGCACTCACCAGAGAAGCACTTACTCCACTGAGCCATCTCCCTGGCCCCCTAAAGGTGTAATTTTTTAAAGCCACATGTATCAATTAATGCAAACACTATGTGCCATAACATGAGCTAAGTCAAGAGGTAATCAACAAGTATGCAGAAGAAGATGGGTTTAAAAGAAAAAGCAAGCTGTAACATGTACATGAAACTATTCTCCAACATGACTGTAAACTACATAAATTACAAACATGTACAAATAAAATTTAAGAAAATGTAAAGCTGCAGTAGTAAATCGAGTGACTTTTGAGCATTCTCATCTTTCATTTTAAGTGACAGAATCTTTTGTATTCTTTTTACTTCTACTAGTAATCCACATTTAACAAGTGTATTTATAAAAATACACTACTGTTTCTGTGAAGTACCACTTGCATTACAGTAATAACTAGAACAAGGCATATATTTTTATTTTCTAGGAGCCTACAACTTAAAAATCCAATTAAAAGAATGTATTTTGTTTAAACTGGGCATAATAATGCACACCTATAACTCCAGCATGTGGGGGTGGGGGGAAGAGGATCACTTCATGTTTAAGGCCAGCCTGTGCTACACTGTTCAAAGTCAGCCTGAACCAGCAACACCCTGTCTCAAAATAACATCAAGGTGCCAGGGAGATGGCTCAGTAGGATAAGCGCATGCCTGGCAAGCACAAGGAACTGAGTTCAATACCAGGTTCCACAAAAACAACAACATAAATCCATCAAACCACTTAATCTACAGTGTAATTGTTACCCTGTCTCAAAAGAAATATATATTATTTAATGGTATAGTTTGGAGGGGATAATGAAAAAGTTCTGAGTATTGAGAATGTGACAATTACATAACAGCTGTGTAACCACTTATTAATGGTAAAAAATGACAATATTATATTACATATATATTATTATTATTATTATTATTATTTTTAAAGTGGACTGTAGCCAGATGTGGTGGCATATTCCTGAGATCCCAGCACTCTGGGGGGTTGATGCAGTGGGACTTGCAAGCTCAAATGCTACCTGAGTGAGTTAAGATTCTTACTCAAAATTAAAAATAAGAAAAGGGCTGGAAATGTAGCTCAGTGAGAAGGTCCAGGTTCAATCTCCAGTACTGAAAATAAAATATTTAAAAAGTAGCTGGTTGCGCATGGCAGCTTCTCTGGCCATCCAGGGACAGATCGGGAAATTTAAGGGGGAGCTGGATCTTGATGGATTGCTGCCAAGTCTAAAGTTCTCATGAAGTACCTGATAGAGAAAACTGAGGAGTAAAGAAAAATTATGTTATTTAGACTTGCTGGAGGTCATGGGTTCTGTGATGTCATGATGTTATCCAAGTCTCCTGACTTCCGGGACAGTGTTGTTTTTTTTTTTTTTTTACATAACCAGTTCCTTTTATTCCAGTGAAACCAAAAGCCAGACAAAGGCAGACAAATGCCACAGTACCCATGGTCTACTTCAGCCCTAAGAGCCTCTTCATTCTGCAATCTGTAGTTCAGTTTTCTCCAATCTCTAAGCAGCACTGCATGGTGTTTCCTTTCTGAAAACGTAAATTACATTTACCAATAAAACAGGTAGAAAATAAACCTTAACTTTTAGATGACAGCAAAAATTAAAGAGATTTTTTATTCTGTCTCCTGTCAGTATAGACGTATAGTTTAATTTTTCTTCTTTGCTTTTTGTCTTTTGAGACTGAGTCTAGCTATGCAGTGCAGGCTGGCCTTGAGCTTACTTTGTTATCCAAGTTGGCCTCAAACTTGCAATGATCCTTCTGCCTCAGCCTCCCAGGTGCAGGGCCATGCCCTCCCCTGCTGATATTTTCTTTCTTATCCAAAGCACCATTCTGTAGGGGTCTCAAGTGGGATGATTCACAGATTATCTTGCAGAAGAACTTCAACAAGATTTTAACCCCCCACAAGGTGTAATTACTTCCCTCATAACCAAAGGAAATTATAAAGTGAATACTAAATTCACACGTGGAATTTTAAACAGGGCACCTGTAATCTCAGCACTCAGGAGATTGAGGCAGGTAGATGACAGCATGTTTGCGGGCAGCCTGGGTTACCTAGTGAGCTCAAGTCCAGCTGGAACTACATAAAAACAAAAACCAAAAAGAAAAAAAGAACAAAAATAGAAATACCAACAAAAAAAGTCCTCAAACCAAAACAATACGGAATTTTAAACTACTGGAAATCTTTGAGTACCTTACTGAATAATGCTGCTTCCTTTCTGGTGTTTTTCTACACCATTTTTACTGAGGAATGAAGAATATATCTTAAAGCAGACTTTTTGAACACATACAATACCATCTTTTAATGCCTTTCACCCCTTGTTATCATCTTCTAAAGAAATGAGCTTTTGCCAATAATTCCCGTAAAATATTATTTTCTGTGAAAGGCAAGAAATCAAACGCCACTTAACCTAGTGGTAGCAGCCAGTATTTTCAATTCCAATACACTGTTCACTAGCACATTATGACATCACTGCCTCCCAGTGTTTGCCCACTCGTTATTAAATCTACTTCTATTTTATTTCTTTGCCTTCGATACACGATTGTAAATATTCCATTTCAGATGCTGGATTAAGGGTCTACTGAAAGATATCTTTTTGCAAATTTTACACTTTATTACAGATCTGAAGAGGTCAAACATTCCCGAAGGCGAAAGCAAGCGCGGGCCGGTATGAACACAACAGCGCAGGGAAGGTGGGGGAGCGGCCCGCCGGGCCCAACCCCAACCCAGCTCCGGGCTCCGGGCAGTTAGTTCCGGCGGCGCTCTCGGCGCACCACCGAAAGCCCCCCCACCCCCGCGCCCGGTGCCTTGAACAAAAGCAAGTGCAGGTTTTGTTCCCTCAAGGTCCCCATTCTACCAGCACAAGTCTGTGGAGACAGATGGGACGCGGACGGGGACGGGGGGTTCCATCCCTGCCTCCTGCGCCCGCGCCCCTCACAGAATCCTCCTGGGCAGAGAAGGCAGGGCGGGACGCGCGGCCCGCGCTCACCTGGCAGCCCTTCTTGTGGTGGAAGCCGACCACCACGATGTGCAGCACCGGCCCCCGGGGCGCGCCGTCGCCGCCGCGCCCGGCTGATTCCATGGGCCCACACCGCGAAGATCCCAGGCCCAAGCCGGCGGCGAAGGCCCCAGAGCAGCGTCCTGCAGGTGTCAGCCGGAGCGGCGCATGAGGGCTGCGCTGGGGGCCGCACCAGGCCGAGCAGCCCCGCAGCTCCGCGCCGCCCCCCGCGCAGCCGCCGCTCTTCCTGGAGCTGCCGCCACAACTTCCGGATGTCACCTGACGCAGCGGCGCAGGTCTGCGTGGGGGCGGGGCTAGAAGGGGAGAGGTCGGCGTCGGGGCGGGGCCTGTGTCGCGGGGCGTGGCTAAAGGACCTGTTGAGGGAATGCGGGACTAGGGACCCAGGATTGGGAGGTTTCAGCGAAGGGGTGCGGCGGGGGGTTGGGGCGTGGCCTCGGGTGCTGGTTCCTCGTGCTGCTTTTTCTTCGGGTTCTGTGTTAAATCGCCTCCTCCTTTGTTATTTCTTCTTCCTCTTAAAATCCCAACCCCACCCTCTTCTTTTCTCAGCTTTCCTGCGTAAACATCTCCGTTCCTTCTAATTCCTTACGTTCGGGCTTGGAGTCTCTTGTTGGGGCTGTGTACCTTTGTCTTCACCTCCAAATTGCTTCCTTAGTTGAAAGTTCTCTTCTGCTTGAATTTGGGATTTGGGGTTTTTTTTTTTTACTAAATTAAAATTTATACATAGGATTTGAAAGTGATTTAAATCTGAAACAATATCCTTGGCACGTGGTTACATGGATACCTGTAAAATGTTTATTCCAGTATTGCACTTAAGAAAAAAACATTATTTTCATTCCAACTTTTACTTGATTTACTATGGTCAGCACAAAATACAAGGGTCTGTTGTCACTAAGGTTTTTAATTCCATTACCGATTGTATTTACATATTTGAAAAGCAATGAATGCCGCATATTAAAGTGAAGAACAAGTCTTACGCAGAGTTTTGGAATGAACAAAAGACTAGGTAGGTGCCTGCTTCAAACAGAATTTGGAGTACTATAATACCTATATATCAAGTATAGGTAACCTTAGCATTTTATATTTTCCACTGGTGGTCTTGAACTATAAAGCATCTCCATTCTAATCTAAGAATAATGGAGAAAAATGGTAGGTTGCCAGAATCGTTTAATATCTGTGGTTCAGTAGAACTATTTTAATGTCAATAACAATTCTGTACAAGTCTGTAATCCCAGCGCTGTGAAGGCTGTGGCAGGAGGATTACCATGAGTCCAAGGCTAGCCTGGACTATATAGCAAGACCAGGTTTCAAGAAAAAAAAAGGGGGGGGGCATTCTACTTATGGCTCAGTAGAATAAGTGCTACCCTGGCAAACACAAGGGCCTGAGTTCAATCCCTGGTTGGGGGGGAAGGGAAATTTTTGTTGTGCTGTCCATTCTTTTGTATATTACCACATTTTTGGCAATGGCTTAGAATTCTGTGAAACCATACTATTTTCTGTACACAGAATAAGTTTCCTCTGTTTTCTTGTTGTGTTACCTATTTGGTATGTTAACTACGTAATGTGTTGACTATTTTATTTTCTTTTTTCTTTTTTTTTTTTTAATGTGTTTGGTACAGGGTCTCACTACACAGGTCACACTTGTAGTGATCCTCCTGTTTTCAGCCTCCCCAGGGTTGGGATTACAGGCATGCACCTACACATCCGATCTTAGTGGCAGACTCAGCATGTCCAGGGATGGGGCCAGCAGGACATGCTGTTAACTGTTTTCTTGATGTAACATGACTGATATTTTCTACAATGGAGATAGCTAAAATAAAAGTTGAGTACTTTTTTGAAAAATTGTCAGAACAATTTAGAACTCTGCAGTGAGCATCAATTAATTTGTTATGCAAAACACTCAGTAACAGCTTTATAAATACATATTTTGTATTCTACAGCTTTCACTTGAGATTATATCATATATATATATGTATATATGCTTAAATGTTTTAAAAATATATCATTTAAAATAATGCTATAGCTGAGCATGGTGGCACATGCTGTCTGTACTGCCAGTACAACCAGGGAGGCTGAGACAGGAGGATCACAAGTTCAAGCTCAGCTGGGCAACTTATTGATTTAGAAAGCTTGAGTTGGGCTGGTGAGATGGCTCAGTGGTCTAAAGCACCTACTTACAACAAGCTTAGCAAAGCACAGGGACCACGGTTCAATCCCCCAGCACCACATGCCAGCCAGCCCCGCTCCCTGGTGGGCTGAGCTAGCCACACACACACATAAAAAAAAAAAAAAAAGAAAAACAACTTTAGAAAGCTTGAGTCATAAATAAAGAAATAAATAAGGTTGAGATGTAACTCAATGTGAAGGCAGGCTGTGGGTTCAATTCCCAGCACTGAAATAAGCAAATAAATAGGATAATGTTGTCAACAAAGAAGATATGAAAATTGGTGGAGTTGGTGAGGAAGGAAATTTGCAGGATTTTTTTTTTATTTCTAACTGTACAGACTTATCCATTTAACCATGTAAAATAATAACTTCTTTACCTTAGTTTTTTTTTTCTTTTTTTTTGGAACCAGGGATTGAACTCAGACCCTTGTGCTTGGGAGGGAAGTGCTTATTCTACTGAGCCATCTCCCTGGCCCCTTTACCTTAGTTCTTAGTGAGTTGTATTAATGTAGAATCAATTCTTAGCAGTATATAGTCCACAATGACAAATATATATTTTTAAAAAATAGAAATTTCTCTCATTTTAAAAAGTCACCTGAAGGAAATTATCAAGATTGGAAACACTAGTTTTAGTTAGCTGAATACTTCTCTGAATATTATTTTGAAAGGAATGTTCTGGTTGTATTTATGTGCTGGTATTTAATTTGAGGGGGAAAAATTCGAAATGCTTTCCTAATACACAATACATTGAAGAGCCTCTTCTAGTTGCATATATTATATGATCAATTATAAATTCTACTCATGTCAGCTTGGCTAAAGAAAAAGCTAAATGGGGAAAAGCTTTGAGATATAGAGTTATGACCAATTTTCAAGTTTATTAAAATTCTATGTGAGGGGCCAGAGAGATGGCTCAGTAGAATAAGTGCTTCCCTGGCAAGTGCAAGGGCCTGAGTTCAATCCCCGGTTATGCCAAAAAATAAAATAAAATAAAATTCTATGTGAAATTGGAAGTGTTTTTGTGTCTTGCCTCTGAAAAGAACACAATGAAATAAAACATTCCCATCTTGCAATCCTTATTAATGCTACTGTGTAAATGAATTATGTATCACAGATTTTTTAAAGTCTAACAAATTTTTAATTTTCTTTAGTGGTGTTGAAAATTAGTGTTTATTTTGTTCTTGAATGGAAAACTTAAAAACTTAATTTTTAAAAAAAATATTGAAAAAGTTGGGCCAGAGAGATGGCTCAGTAGAATAAGCACTTGCCTGGCAAGCGCAAGGACCTGAGTTCAATCCCTGGTTTCACCAAAAAAAAAAAAAAAAAAAGAAAGAAAGAAAAAAATTGAGACAGATTCTTAAGGTGCCAGGATGGTCTTGACCTAAAAATCATACAGTCTCCTTAGTGAGGTTGATGTGCTACCCAGTTTAGCTGGCATTGACTTTCTTTTGTGTGTGTGTGTGTGTGTGTGTGTGTGTGTGTGTTTTAGGGAAGGGTCTACAGGGTGTTTAGGGTCTCATTACTAGATCAGACTCATAGTGATCCGCCTATTTACAGCCTCCCAAGAGCTGGGATTACAGGCGTGCACCACCACACCGCATCTCAATTGCCACCTAAGTGCACTCCGGGGGTGGAGCTGGCATGGCAGGCCCGGGAACCCCGCTCCCTCCACCCCTGCACCTGCTTGCAGGCACTCTAATCCCCTGAGCTAGTTGGCTGGCCTGGCATTGACTTTCTTGAAGTATATTTTTCTAATGTTTGAACACTGTTGAAATATTATGATGCTTTGAATTTGGTTCATATTCTCATTATAATAAGGTGGACATAGAAGAAAAATCAGAAGATGAAATAGGGCTTCACAAATGTATTATTTTGTATTTATGAGAATTAAAGAGAACATTGAGTGGAATGCAGTGAATTTAGACAGCAATCATTACACCCTAGACTACCCATGGAAATTATGGTAGGCACAGTGAATTAAATGAAAGATTGCTGCCTTAATATGGTGTTCATCTGGTTATAAAAATAAGAGAAATTTGAAGCCAGCTAGTAATGGTAGCTCTATGCATCTCTTGCTCTGCTCTAAGCGAATCATCATGCTAGACATTAAGAAACTAAGATAACTGATGTAATAATAACTCAAGTTTAATAGGGTTTACTATAGTCTAGGTCTTCTGCTCGCCTCTTCATGGATTATTTCATTTAATTTTACAATAAATGTACAAATAGCTACTATTATCCTCATTTTTCCCAATGAGTAAATTGATGTTTTAAAAATTTAAACAGCTCCAGTGGTCTAAAGCACCTACTTAGAACAAGCTTAGCAAAGCACAGGGACCACAGTTCAATCCCCCAGCACCACATACCAGCCAGCCCCGCCCCCTGGTGGGCTGAGCTGGCCACGCGCGCGCGCGCGCGCGCGCGCACACACACACACACACACACACACAAAATAAATAAATAAAATTAAAAAAAAAAAAGAATTTGCCAAAAAAAAAAAAAAATTTAAACAGCTCAATGGGGACGGTGCGATGGCTCAGTAGAATAAGCACTTGCCTGGCCACGGGCCTGAGTTCAATCCCTGGTTCTGCCATAAATAAGTAAATAAGTAAATAAATAAATAAATAAATTGCTCAACCATAAATTAAATAAAAGGAATTGTGAAGTTGAAATTTGAATGAAAGTAATTTAATTCAGAACCAATAGATTTAATTAATATACTCCACTGTTTCCCAATTTTCTTGGCCTTGAGGAATTCAGTGTTTTGGGAAGAGATAACTTAGTTGAATAATTCAGAGAAAATAAGCTGAAAACCTTTTGAAAGAGTACAAGTCTGCAGGCAGGAGTCAGAGAAAGTAGCCATATTTGAAAACAGTTCTAAAGAATGACCAAGATTTTATTGGGACTTGAGTTGTGGGAAGAACATTGTAAAGTAATATCACTAAAGGCTAGGGTTATTAAGGAAGTATACTTTGGTTTTGTTTTTTTTTTTTTAAGGAAATACATTTGGGAAGGGTTTATGCCTAACTTACTGGAAGTATATAAAATTTATTTTTAAAATTTTATTTATCTTTTTATTTATATTTATGTACTTGGTACAGGCTCTCACAATGCAGCTCGGACTCATAGTGATCCTCCTGTTTTCAGCCTCCCCAGTGCTCGGATTTCAGTCATGCACTATCATGCTCAGTCTCATGGCCGGCTCAACACAACTAGGGGTGGGGCTGGTGTGGCATATGGTGTGGGGGATCAAACCCTGGTCCCTGCTCTTGCCTAACCTATAAAATTTAAATAAAATGTCAACAATAGAGGTTTGGAGGTGCACCAAGTGCATAGTGTTCCCTTTACTCAAAATGCTGCTCCTTGCCTCTTTTCTATCTTATTCATCCCTCAAGACTAGCCATATATAGGGGCCAGGGAGATAGCTCAATAGAATAAGCACACAAGGACCTGAGTTCAATCCCCAGTTAAAAAAAAAAAAAGAAGAAGAAGAAGAAAAAGAAGCCTAGCCATGTATCAATTCTTTTGTGAAGCTTCTCAGCTCATCTATGAGACCAGTGGGCAAGCTATTTAACTTTTCTGAATAAAAGTAACCTCATCATGATACTTGCTGTCAGGGCTACAGAGCAGATTTTCTGTAGCTCAGAATTTGTAGAGGTTTCAGTCCATAATTGGCTGGCTCTAAGCCTGGGAGGTGTGGCGGAGGGGCAACCATTAATGGCAGCATAAGATACCAAAAGCTACCGCCAAACCTTAGCAATGTCTTTCTGCCTTTTTAAAACTCTATCCAGGATGCCAGGATTTGGGTGGTGCCAATCCAGTCAGTGGACTGATCCAGAAATTACTCACCATTAATCCTAGCAACGCACCAACAATCACATACTCTAGACTCAGCTACCTCTGAAAAAGACCCCTCTAAACCTACATGAGGCTTTGGGGGGACATCTAGACCCAAACATGACACTTGCCTGATAGCATGCTTGTAAAGATTATTTAGAAAGGTAAGTGTCCTGGATTCTGGATCAATATTTCTGGAATCCCCTGCCCTTCCCCCCAAAAAACTAGAACTGGGTTGAAATTTTAGAAGGGTAAAGCTGCCTATTATTATTATTATTGCTTTATATATTGTTTCATGGTGCCTTGAAGTTTGTACTTGTTTCCCTTTTCTCTACTTTTCTTTAAGCTCCTTCACAGGCCAACCTTTCTAGCCTGAACATTGCTTTATATTTGCCCAACTGCTGGGCAAGTAACATGAAATAAACACACAGTAGTTCAATGAAGGTGTGATGGGTACCTACCAACCCTTAATTGTTGGGATGAACGATGCAATCTCTCATGTTTATACTATTTAGTGTTAAGATCCTAGGATGGGGGGGGGCTGGAGAGATGGCTCGGTGGTCTAAAGCACCTACTTGGAACAAGCTTGGCAAAGCACAGGGACCGCGGTTCAATCCCCCAGCACCACATGCCAGCCAGCCCCGCCCCCTGGTGGGCTGAGCTGGCCACACACACACAATAAATAATAATAATAATAAAAAAGATCCTAGGATGCAAATATAAAATGAACCGAGGAAGAGTTTACTTTTTTTGTGAGTGATTTTTACAAAGGACACTCACATGTAGAGCGACATCTGGTGGTTGCCTGTTGGACAATATTTGTGGAAATAACCTATACATTTTAAATTATAATCAGATAAAGGACGATACATTACAGTAGAAATAATTCAAAGATTTTAAATCTCTCCTAAAGGTGGTTTATTTTTTAAACTGCTGGTTGTTTTCAGTGCTCTGGATTTAGCAGCAGCGTAGTCCTTAAGAAAATGAATGGTTTTGCAAACCTTGCAGAATGGCGAGTCGGAAGCAGGAGCTATGAATTGATTTTACCGGTCTGAAAAAAAGACCGTGGCTTGAGATGAGATGCAACTTTCTGAGTAAAAATAAAACAACTTTAAAAGTTGCCCTATTTTAGAAGAAGAATTATTCCGGAGGCAAGATAGCATTAACGTTTTCCTGAAATACCGAGGGCACAGTGGATGTCCACGGACCGCAAAGAAACATTTCACCTCCTCCAGCGAAACTAGCGCAAAAGATCCTCGAGTGACCTGATCGCGCGCTCGGCCTCGGATTGGTCGTGCCTGCAAAAGCGGAAGCGCGCTCGTTTAAAGTGGCGTCCCTACGTCGATGGACGGAGGCCACTTCCGGGATCGTGATGGCGGCCAACGCGACTACCAACCCGTCGCAGCTCTTGCCGCTAGGTAAGCGTTTGTGTTCGGGGAACCCGGCCGGAAACTGCGTCCAAGACAGCCCTGGCCGCGGAAGGGAAGCTGCGGGGCCCACGCACTCCTCTCCAAGGCTCGCTCCGACCCGCGGCTCTTCGCTCCCGGGTGGGGAGGCGGAGGCTGCGGGCTCGGCGCGCGGGAGAAGCGGGCGCGCGGTGTGGGTTGAGGGCTTGCTCGGCGGCCGAGCTGCAGGCTCAGACGCAGCGTTAGGGTAGCGGCTGCCTTATCAGCTGGCATTTACAGCTCTCAGATTATTCAGACCTGTCGCGTATTTGGCTGATTGAGAGTAGCGCCACAGTCCACAGAGAAACTAAACAGGCAGGTGGAAGCTGGTCCTGTTTTTCATCTATTCCACCGATCCAGTCATCCAACCCACAGGTAAGTCGCATTTCGTGGCTGGGCGCTGTTCAACAATGAGCTTAAATCTCGCCTTTGTTTTTAAATGGCACTGCAGTATACATCAAACTGAATAACGCTGTTGAGCTGGCTAAAGATGCTCAAGCTGCTGTGAACGCAGAGGATAGACTTCCTGGAATATGGGGAAGAAATGACCGGAAAAAGTTTCTGGTGAAGATAACTTTAATATTTTGTAGCTGGTGAGTGATTTAGTTCATGGACCTGGTTGTAACTGAAAAAGCTCACTCCTGCATGTGGCAGATTCTTGGAGTGCCTGGTATATATTGCCACATCCTGTGTACTGGAGAAACAGTTATGAGCAAGCATAGACATGATCTCTGCCCTAATGGAATTAGGGAAGAGTGTTGTGTGTTTTCCCATATTCCTTAAGTAAAGGACAAAGCCACAACCATATAGACAGATTGCTACAAAGAAGTAAAGCTGAAGGAAAATTTTCCTCTTACGGATACAACGAAAAGACCTCATCTTAGCTCTTAGTTATAATGCAAATAATGATTATGAGTAGACACTATTTGTTGAAATAACGAATGGGTAAAACATCTTTTTCTCTCCACAGAGCTGGTGGACAAATGTATAGGATCAAGAATTCACATTGTCATGAAGAGTGATAAGGAAATTGTTGGCACTCTTTTAGGGTTTGATGACTTTGTCAGTATCCTTTTAAAAAGTGGTGGTAGCAAACTTTTTTTTATGTATTTAATGACATAAACTGTAATGATCAGTATGTTTATTTTCAGGGATAGTGTTTGCCGTGCTGGTGATCAAACCTTAGGTCGCATGCATGCTAAGCAAACACTACCACTGTGCTATGCCGCCACCCCCCCCTCTTGTGATAGTTTTAAGAGGTATGTGTGTTGAAACATTGTTTCTGTCAACAATTTTGTTTATTTGTTTGTTTTGAAACAAAGTGCCCCTAAGTAGTCTATGCTGGCCTGCTGGCCTTGACCTTGAGCTCATTATAACCCAGGCTGGCCTGGAACTCATTCAGAACCTTCTGCCTAATCCTCTGGCTGCTGAGATTACAGATGTGTGCCACCACTCCCAGCTAGCCTTTTTTACGTTACCCATTTTCTTAGGCATAATTAAAACTGAAAAAAAAAAACCAGAAGCCGGAGTAAATTCACTATAATTATTTATTTCCTTAATACCAAATTCAGATATGGTGCTGGAAGATGTCACTGAATTGTAAGTAGCATTAAAAATTAAGTAATTGAGGGAATATCTTTAATTGAAAACGTTTTAATTTTAGTACAGTGGAATTGGTGAAATGATTAATGAGAAAACATATTGTACCAGATTACCTGAAGACAAATTTTATTTACTGATGTTTGTAAAATTAGATCAGGCTCTTACCTTAACGTAATCATTGGTTAATTGCTAGGAAAGTAGTGTAAAGAAAACTGTGCGGTAGAAGATACTAAAAACAGCCAGAAGGTAGAGCTCAGTGGCACAAATGCCTGCTGGCAAGCACAGGGTCTTGAGTTTGATTCCTGGTACCCAAAACAAAGCAAAACAAACCAAACTCAAACCAAAAAAAACCCTGGCAGTTTTTGGGCTCTGTATAACATAAAATGTAAATAATGGCTCAAATAATTAATATAATTACAAAGGTTATAAGCATTATTTTTTATTTTCAAAATTTAAATGGATTATAGTCTGGTTTAATGGATAAGAATCAGTAGTAATAGATCAACTTAGGCTGGCTGTGGTGTCCCATACTTGTAATCCCTGCATTTAAGAGGCTGAGGCAAGAGGATTGCAGTGAGTTTGCAGCCAGTCTACTGCACAGCGAGACCCTGCCTCAAAAAAAAAAAAAAAAAAAAATCAAAAATCCCCCAAAATGATGAGATCCGAACATGCATCTTAGGCCAACCTTTTTACTCTGTTGCTTCTGATGAAGAAGGTACATTATTTTTCTCAACAGTATAAATAAAATTGCCTCACCTCAAATTCATGTGCAAGAATTTTGGTGCTGGGAATTTGAACACAGCCTTGTGTGTGCTGAGCACGTGCTTTACCACTGAGCTACACCACAAGCCCCAAGAATATTTTCAGGGAGGTAAAATATATCCAAAATGTAGGATTTGATTACCTGCTTATTCTGACTCTGTCCTAACTCTTTATTTAGTGAGATCACGCCAGAAGGAAGACGGATTACTAAATTAGATCAAATCTTACTAAATGGAAATAATATAACCATGGTAAGAACATGAAACCTATTTTATTTGGATGCTAGCCTATTTCTATGGGGCGAGGATCACAAAACTAACTTGTCCTGCTGCTGCTGCTGGCTTCATTTAAATGCTCATAACCCAGTTTTATTTAAGCTTGGAAAGGGGTTCTCTGATGGTACAGGCCGAGCTTTTTTTTTTTTTTTTTTTTGGTGGTACTGGGGATTGAACTCAGGACCCTGTGCTTACCAGGCAAGCGCTCATTCTACTGAGCTATCTCCTCAGGCCCCTAAAGCTGAGCTATTGAAAAGGCATTGAGCCTGAAGGTTACTTTGCTTGTGCCTTTTGCTCTTTAATTTTGCCAGAAACCATTTTCAAGACACTTCACTAATTGATGATTTAGGAGTTGTGAACAGATACAGATGACTTGGAGAAAATGGGAATGTGAGAAAGGCAAAGAGACAGAGTGGCTTTGGCTGATTAAAAACACTTTTAATGTGGTGTTACTAATAAACTTTTTTTTTTTTTTTCTCCAATGCAGCTAGTTCCTGGAGGAGAGGGACCAGAAGTATGAGTGGATTTTCGTATAGATTCCGTTTTGTCTTATAATGGCACGAAAATAGATTTTGTTTTAACTTTTTAATGTTTAGATTCTATAAAGCTAAGTTTCCCGTTAAAGGGAAATACTGTGAAGATGTATCATATACATATTTTTCTGGTTTCTCTTCAGATCGTATAAATCTTTTGCCTTTTACTAAGTTAATCATGATTATCTTGGAAAAAGAAAAAAATTTGTTTTTTGAGGACTAAAAAATAAAGATGTTTTGGTAAATTATTTATTATGCTTCAGTAACCAATGGAACAAAGATTGTACTTTGCTACTTGCATTCCTATCATTTTTAACAGTTTGCATTGTTTGTAACCACTTGATTCTCAAACAGTTGTTTCAAGCAAGGTGATAAACCCCAATTTTTACCAGATTTATTTATTTATTTATTCATGGTGGAACCGAGGATTGAACTCAGGCCCTTGCACTTGCCAGGCAAGTGCTTATTCTACTGAGCTGTCTCCCTGGCCCCCGATCAGGTGTGTTTAAAACACCTGAAATGGTTACTTAGAAAATTCATTCTGAACTCTGATGTATAATGAAGATTTTTCTTTGGCATTATTCAGTTTTGGGTTCTAAAATTTTGTGCTTGGTAGGACCACCTGGTTAGGTGTTAGGGATTGACTTATTTTCTAAAGTTGTTGAAAGGACTGATAATGTTAACTCTGATCTCATTAAAAAGTGAAACAAAGCATGAACAGCAAAAGAAATAAGTGAAACTGCTACAAAATTAAAAAGTTTTGTGCTTCAAAGAATACCATCAAGTAGATTAAAAAAAGCATACAGAATGGGAGAAAATATTTGTAAGTCAAACAGTTGATAAGGGATTCATATCTAGAATGTATACAGAACTATTATAACTCAGTAGGAAAAAGACAGACCAATTAAAAAATGGTCAAAGGATCAGAATAAAGTTTCCCCAGGAAAATATATGTGACCCCCTAAGCATGGGATTATCATCAGGGAAGTACAGAAGGGAACCACAAGGGGATACCACATCTTGTAGAGTAGCTGAGAAGAGGAGCAGAACAAAGGGATGTACCAATTGTTGGTAAGAAAATGAAATGAGCTCTGATACAGAGCCAGTAGGAATGTAAAATGATGCAGCTGCTGTAGAGAACAATTTGATGATGCCTCAAAGAAACCAAACGGCTATCATATGACCATCATTTCCACTCTTAGGTTTATACTCAGTGGAAGTGAAAAAATGCACACAAAAACACACGTTCACAGCAGCATTATTTATAATTTTTGTTTGTATTTTTGATTTTTTGGTACCAGGGATTGAACTCAGGACCTTGCATTTGCCAGGCAGGTGCTTATGCTGCTAAGCTCTCTGCCTGACTTAATTATAATTTTCTCGAAGTGAAAGTAACCCTTAGTGCCCACCATTGGTTAAATAGATAAAATGTGGCATATCCAAACAACAGGCTATTAGCTGCAAAGGGGACAACATGGATGATTCTTGAGAACATTATGCTAAGTGAAAGAAGCCAGACAGACCACCATGTGACTTTATTTATAGGAAATATCCAAAATAGGCAAATCTGTTGTCTAAGAAAAAAAAAATCAGTGGTTGCCAGGGACTGGGTAGGGAAAGAAAGTGACTTTAAAGGGTATAGAGCTTTTTGGGTGGTGAAAATTAACTTGGTAGTGATGGTTTGGGAACACACTAAAACCCATGACTTTGGGAACACACTAAAACCTACTGAATTGTAGTCTTTAAAAGGGTGGTCTTTGCAGTATGTGAATTCCTTTTTTTCCCCCTGTACTGGGGATTGGACCCTTGCTGTATTCACACTGACCTGTATCCCCAGCTCTAAAAATTTTGAGTCAGTGCCTTGCTAAGTTGCCTAGGCTAGACTTGAACTTTTGAGCTTGGCCTCCCAGAGTGCTTGGATGATTGGTGTGTGACACCACTGCTGCCTTGTAATTTTTGAGGCCCTAAAAATTACTTTCTTAAGAGTGACAGCCCAGGCTTTGGTGGCTGAAAGGACTCTAGCTCTCCCCAAGTATAAAAAGACTACTTCTGGTTAAGGTTTAATTTTTTTTTAGACAGGGTCTTACTCTGCAGTCCCAGTTGGCCTTGAACTCACTGTGTAACCTCTGATGGCCTCAAACCCAATTCTGAGTTCTGGGATTACAAGTGTGTACTGCCGCCTCATGCTTCCTTGGATGTTAAATAGAATAAGTTAGGAAAGATAGCCTTTAACCCTTAAGAATGTTGGTATTTTTGGACTTTTTATGAAGATAAAGAAATGTAGTTTTGGATTGTAATTCCATTGGAGTTCACCATTTGTGGATTTTAATTTGGAAGATTTGGTTATTTAAAAGTTCTACTTACAGATTTTATGATCGAGAGCTGGCCAAATAGCTCAGTGGATTAAAGCACCTGCAAGCAGGCGTGGGGGCTGGGGCTTTCATTCCCAGGCCTACCATGCTGGCCCCGCACTGTGGGCATGCTGAGAAGGCAATTGGGATTGGGTGTGGTAGCTCAAGCCTGTAATCCCAGCTCTTAGGAGGCTGTAAACAGGCAAATCAATAGAAGTCTGGGCCTAGTAGTGAGACCCTGAACACCCTGTAGACCTTTCCCTAAAATACAAAAAGAAAAAATCGAGGGATTCTATTTAGGTTTGGATCTCTGTTGTTGGCATTTGGCCCTGCTAGGTTGGACCATGTAGCTGGGCCTACTTTGGGGCAGGAAGTGTTGTGGATTTTCATACTTGCCATTACAGAAGCCTTAAAGTTGTGATTAATGTGTGTACCCTCACCCCCAATCTCATGAGGGATAGTTCTCTACTGCTCAGCCCCACCTTAGCCTTAGTTTATGTATTCTGACTCTTTCCGAGCCTTTTTTGATAAAGTCCAAATTGCTTTCAATGATCCCAAGAAAATAACCAAAAGAACAGTAGTTGGGAAGGAGGGACTTCATAATAGACAGTTTTGGTCCTCTGGCCAAGGGAATGCAAACAAAAAAATGAATACGAGGGAAGATTGTTTTTCTGTTCCTGATACTTCCATATATAGGCAGATTAGTAATTCTCTGTGCCTCAGAAGATTTGCATGGGTTTATCATGCAAATTCATAGATACATATAAATGTAAAAAATATATATTTATAAATGTAAAATATATAAATATACACGTTTATCAAATATAGGGAGAGGGAAATTAGTATCCTTACTCCATTTTCAGTTGGGGTTTGGATTGCTTTCAGGAAGCACTAGTTTCTGCTCTGCAGTGTTTTATAGCCGTCTGCCCTATGTGTAGACATCTGGGCTGGTCCAGAATGCCTCAAGTTTGGTGGGTAAATCTGGACAGAATTCTTCAGCTCCATACAAATAAGTTAACAGACCATTGATATGTTATGTCATCTACCTACCCTGTCATTAATCAAAGTGACCCCCTATGCACCATTTGCCTTTTTCTCAATTAGCTTAGAATTCAGTTTGGGGAAAGGTGTGCTAATTATTCTTTCCCCTGACTCCATTATTCTGGAGCCTGCTGTTCTTTTTTTTTTTTTTTTGGTGTTCTGGAGCCTGCTGTTCTAGTACAGCTTTCTATTTCCCCACTGTACTCTGTCACAAGTTTCACATCCATCAGAGCATTTGAATGATTTTATCTGAAATACAGAATCAGGTCATATAATGCTAGCTCTGAAATCCTGCAGGAACTTGTTCTATGTAAAGAGCCCAAATTCCCTAGCAGGACACTGAAGGGTACCTATTAACCTTGGTAACCACATCTTGGTCTTGTTTCTATTGTTCCTTGGATTCGTTTCTACTCAAGTATAGCTAAAGCACCACCTCTCAGAAGTCTGTGAAGATCTCTTCCCCCTAAATGCAAGGTACATTTTCATTATCTATTATTTGTTGCTGTTTAACAGTGTTAAGTGGTCCATACCATGAAAATCCTGGTTTCAAAGGAAAAACTTTTATTTTTTAAGCTTTTATTTTTTAAACAGTGTTTGGCAGGGGCTGGAGAGATGGCTTAGTGGTCTAAAGCACCTACTTAGAACAAGCTTGGCAAAGCACAGGGACCGCGGTTCAATCCCCCAGCACCACATGCCAGCCAGCCCCACCCCCTGGTGGGCTGAGCTGGCCACACACACACACACACACACACATTAAATGTAAAAAAAAATTAACAAAACCAGGGTTTTGCTTTGTAGTGTAGGCTGGCCTTGAATTCCTTGCCCAATCTTGCCTCATGCTCCTGAGTGCTGGGATTACAGGCATGTGCAACCACACCTGTCTGAAACAAACTTGTTTTGCCCTTGGATCTGAGATCAGAGTATGGGCTGCCATTAACACTACCAGCACCATCATCTGAATGTCTTGAGTTTGCATGTAGCGTTGATCCACAGTACAGTCACAGAATTGTGGAGAATGGAGACAGATGCTTGAGAGATTTCTGGTGCTCTGGGAATCCCTGCTTGGGAGACAGTAGCCCCCTCCAACTTTTTAGTGAGTAGAAATGCCCTTGATCTGGGAGCACATTGGTACACTAGAGCACATTCTCTTAATCTCAGCACATTCATGCTCTAACTGTCCTGTTACAAGGAGTGTGAGGTGGGTGGGCATGAGGTGAAACAGAGAATGGCTGCAATCAGGCATACTATGTCTTACCCAGGGAGACCCCAGCTGTAGCTTGGTATGTAGGGATCTCACACTTTAAGTCCATGAAAAATTATGCATGCCACTCACTGACCACCAGAGGGTAGTATGTATGCATGTCATTCACTACCAGAGGGCATTGTGCAGCTAGGCAGGACTTGGGTAAGGCTGCTACTGTACTTTTATAGTTTTCCTTGAAATCTTGTTGGAACTCAGGCTTCTGGTGGTCCATGCTGCTGTACTCACCATTGAATCGCAGAACAAGGACAGCAAAAAGATTGATCTTGTACTACGTGTAACACTTTTAAAAGAGACATGTATTTTCTGTCTCCTACATGAGGTGCCTTTTCTACCATAAAATATTGCCTTCAGTGGACTCTACTCCTGTTCAACACTTGTGTGATTTTGGGCAGTTGAATTAACCTTGCTGACCCCAACTCCCCACTGTACATTGGGGTTAAGATTATACATGTATGGGGCTGGTGAGATGGCTCAGTGGTCTAAAACACCTACTTAGAACAAGCTTAGCAAGACACAAGGACCGCAGTTCA